ACAAGCTGGACATGGCTGAGTGACTGAGCATGCAGGCACTTACCCGTAGAATCGTTCATTTTGGATAAAATAAGCAAATTCGATGAGATGATCTTGAGTAGCACTTCATATGAAGAAGGTAGATGGGGAAGTTTATGAAAGTGGGAAGGGAACTGTGGTGATGATGAAAGGGGAGGAAAATTAAAGAGGTGTTATCGTGGGAGCTCACAATGACCCATCAGAATGGCATGACACGGCAACCGTAAGTGCATTTGATTTCCTGGGAAATCCTTTTGCTAAAATCAGAGGATGTGAAAAATGTGTGTCCCGCTTTGCTGATAATTCTGATCTCCCAATAAATAAGGAAAGAGCAGTAAGGAATGGGATTCAGTGTCAATTTGAATAGGCAAGGGACGAGCAGTTGGTCATTGAGAAATACCAGCAACTCTGGGAGAAAGCCAAGTGCTCAGAAAATCTAGCCTCTCTGTCATCCTGTCAGAGACATTTTAGAGGAGATTTCTTGGAAGGAAGGGTACACGAAATTATCTTTCAGTCCCTTCTGAGGCATTGAAAGTTGCCTCAGACAGGTGCCAGCATGAAGACTGGGCGAGGGGTAACATTCTGCGGCTCTATGATTATGGGGAAAAGAAATAAATAGCACCACCCATTAGGTACTTCATATAAATATACAACAGAGCTGGAAGGACTGAAACAATGTGGAGGCAGGAAAAAAGAGAGATTGGTAGTACAGAACAGATACTTGAGAAATAGATTAAACATGGACAGCAATTGAATTTCCCATAAAAGAAGAAAGTATATCCATGCAGGCATGGAAAATTAGGACCATGTATCAATTGTAGAGAGTGGGCAAAACCTTTCTGTATTTAGAAATGGAATACTCAAAAAGGACTCATAAAGGAAATGTTAAACTTTTTCTTTTTAAAGAAATAATATTGACGAGGTGAAAAACAGACAGGATAAATATTTTTAGAGAATATGAACTGCAAGATTAAAATAATTTTCCAGGCAAGAATACTGGAGTGGGTTGCCATTTCCTCCACCGGAGGATCTTCCCAACCCAGGGATCAAACCCACATCTCTTAGGTCTCCTGCATTGACAGATTCTTGACCAACTGCACCACCAGGGAAGCCCCTTAAAATGCTTTTAAAAGCAATGACCAAATACAAGCCAATAAAAAAAAAAATCACCCCTAATCCTATGTGATAAGTAGATATAGCAGGAAAGTAATCTATTGACAAAAGAGGAAATATGAATGAAAAATAAATGAAGGAAAATGCCATAATTTAAAAAGAGTAGTTATAAAATAATTTAAGGCAAAACAACAGGATACCACCTTTGCATATCAAGTTAGTAAATATTAAATATGCATTTATATTTTGGAAATCAATTGTCCAGTATTTGACAAGAAACTTTAAAATGTTCATTTATTTTGACCTACTAATTCTACATGTACGAGTCAATCCAAGGGAAACAATTCTAATTGTCGAAAAGTTCTATGCATAAAAAAGGTTCACCATAATATTATTTGTTAAAAAACATCACAAGGAAGAAAGGAAGGAATAAGAGTTAATGTTTAATGAATGCTTACTATTTGTAGGTACTATGCAGTTATTGTATGTAATAAGTTATCATATTTCAATCTTACAACTGTCTCATGAAATAGATACAAACATCATTTTACAGAAAAGGTAAAATGCTTATACATACTTGAAGAGATTAAGTTCTCCAGAAACTTGGCTAGGAAGAGTAAAATAAAAGAAAAGAAAAAGGAAACAGCTTAACTGCAAATAAAAACTGGGGAAGATTTATTCAAAGGATTATTCTAAAATTTTAACATAAAATTAGAAAATGGAAAAAATAATTTAGGGTAAGGTGTTAATAAAAATACATAATAGAGATTTCTATATTTAATAGTACTCAAATACTTCCATAGAGAAAAGACTGGAAGACAATACATACACAGTCTAAGCACAACCGAACTTTACCCTGAGTGAGCCTCGACCAAGGAAGGCTGTGGGCCGCCAGGAGAACAAGCTGAGTGTAGTTCACCTGATGGGTGGGGAGGGATGACGAAGGATGCTCCGGAAGACCCCAAAAGGCTCAGACGCAGCTTAGCAGTTTGGCTAATACAGGAGATGGAGAATGTAATTCAGGGCAGATATGGTAAATCTTCTATAACGAGTAGGGCTGTAATTCTTTTCATGGTAAGTTGCTGGGAAAATCATAAATCGGTCATGGTTAAAATGTCAGAAGACTCAAAATCATAAGAAAAAATAATGAATTATTGAGGTTGTGGCTTACCCTGGAAGTCATACAACACTATCTGAGAGGCGTGGAGGTGGAGACAAGAGTAAAGTGATTTCTGCCGTATGAATATTTCAATTAGGCAGCTGGGAAAATTTGGGACAGAAACATATAAATCTGTACTCTCAAGTTATTAGGAGGAAGTATTTGTACAGATTAGCTTTAGGGAAAAGGGGTCTGGATAAACACATGTTCAAACGATAGAAAATGTCATTTATGTGCATACACACACATCCCATAAAAGACTAAGCCTCTACTGCATTTATTTTATAACATTTTGGAGAATTTTATAAATAGCCTAAGTTTAATGTTTTGTAATGTTAATATCTGACTTTACTTTTTCTGTCTCCCACCTTCCTTCGTTTCCTGTCCTCTCTTCTCCTTTGTTATGTTATAGAAGAAATGGCATAATATTATATGTATATGTGTGTATATATATGCTTGTATCCATGTGCACACTGCCACACACAGTACCTGTAACTTACTACAGCTAGTTTAGACTCTTACATGTACTGTCCTATTGACAAAAAAAAACCAGAAAATCAAATGTTTGCTCAGCTCAGCTCAAAGTACACACATCTGTGGGTGTGAAACTTAGTAACTCTCCAAAGGCTCCGAGGTTTATACTTAAAGTATACTGTCTACTCTCATATAACTTGATGGGTAAAAGTGAGTTGTTCTTCTGACATATAACAATGACCGTAGTGTAATTCCAACCCCAAAGAAGGGCAATGCCAAAGAATGTTGAAACTACTGCACAATTATACTCATTTCACATGCTAGCAAGGTAATGCTCAACATCCTCCCAGCTAGGCTTCGGCAGTACATGAACCAAGATATACAAGCTGGATTTCAAAAAGGCAGAGGAACCAGAGATCAAACTGGCAACATCTGCTGGATCACAGAAAAAGCAAGAGATTCCAGAAAAACATCTACTTCTACTTCACTGATTACGTTAAAGCCTTTGACTGTGTGGATCATAACAAACTGTGGAAAATTCTTCAAGAGATGGGAATACCAGACCACTTTACCTGTCTCCTTGAGAAACCTGCATGCAGGTCAACAAGCAAGAGTTAGAACCGGACATGGAACAACAGACTGGCTCCAAACTGGGAAAGGAGTACAACAAGGCTGTGTGTTGTCACCCTGCTTATTTAACTTCTATGCAGAGTACATCACATGAGACGCTGGGCTGGAGGAATCACNCAGTCCTGAATATTCATTGGAAGGACTGATGCTGAAGCTGAAGCTCCAGTACTTTGGCCACCTGATTCGAAGAACTGACTCATTGAAAAAGACCCTGATGCTGGGAAAGATTGAAGGCAAGAGGAGAAGGGGGCGACAGAGGATGAGATGGTTGGGCGGCATCACCAACTCAATGGACATGAGTTTGAGTAAACTCCAGGAGATAGTGAATGACAAGGAAGCCTGGCGTGCTGCAGTCCACGGGGTTGCAAAGAGTTGGACATGACTTAGTGATTGAGACCTGGGTTTGATCCCTGGGTGGGGAAGATCCCCTGGAGAAGGGAATGGCAACCCACTCCAGTATTCTTGCCTGGAGAATCTCATGGACTGAGGAACCTGGTGGTCTATAGTCCATGTGGTTGCAAGAGCCAAACACAACTTAGTGACTAAACCACCATAGTAACAAGATAGAATAATAACTGTCAGTTTTCCATTGAAAATTCTGGAAAGGCAGAGAGGCAGGGACCATCACTGCACCAGGACAGTGCCTCAAAAAACTTGTTGAGTTTTTTGTTGAGTTGAGTAAAGTGGATACTACAGGAGACCCAAGCATCTTTACAGGCAGCACAAATCCCATCTCACTGATAACCTCTTTCCTCAGAGCCCCAGGCATTGATCCTTCTGGAAATTACCACTAGTACTAGTCCAAACCACCTCTTAGCCCATGATTCTACACATCTATTTATTTATTTATTTATTTTGCTGGTTCTTAGTCACTATGGTTTTCAATTTGGGGAGACATGCTCCCTGAATCCTCAAGGACACTTATATATATATATATTTATTTATTTATTTATTTATTCTATTTCCCAAAGCACATGGAAAATCAGCAACAAACGTGTTAAATTCAATGATGAACTCTTTCCCAAAGACGACCTACTTTGTGACGTCTCCAAACATTTTCTCTCTCAAATGCATTACTATTTTGACAATTCCAAAATATGATGGAAAGAAACCAGGGAACACAATGTCAGTTGACTTGGGTTTCTAAGTCTTGCCACTTCAGTGCTGGAAAAGCCACCCACCCAAACTCCAGGCCCCCCTTTCCCTATTTTTAACATGGGAACACGAACCTGACCTGCAACCGCCATTAGGACCTACCTGTCTCAAAGAGAAGACTGGGATCAAATGCCGTAACATCCGTGGAAGAGTTTTGCAAATTGGAAAGCAAATATTAGCTCTACTATTTACCTTTTTAAAATACAAAGTTCATCTTGCAATGCCATCGGTGAGAGATACTGCATGTGAGTTTTTTCTGAGAATGGCTGTTCGGCAGAAGAGCGAGGTGACGAGGAGGACAAGACTCTCAAGCACGTGGCCCCTGCCAAACATTCCCTGGGCATAAATCCCAGGCCAGGCTCGACGCTTGTGCGTGGAGAGAATATGAGGTGCCAGGCACCCAAGCCTGCGGCACGGCTGCAAGCATCTTCCAACCCCAGAGAGAGCTTACCTGACACGAGCTGCTGTCCGGGCAACCCCACGGGAACCATGCCCAAGTTATTCATGGCGGTGGCCCAGGCGGTGGGGTCCGTCACCGACATGTTCAGCTGGGTCGCGTCTATTGCAATGCTCCCCAAACCATCGGCTGCTGCGGGTGGGAAAGCAAACTGACTTAGATTCCACCGGCGAGGGTGTCTGAAAACAAATCGTGTTTCTAGAGACGTGAGGCTTCCTTTAAGCACATTCCCAAACCACAAAAAAATATGGCACTGTAATCTACACCAACACTTTCTCCAGACGTCAACATGACAGAATACATTCTGGGAGGAAACTTAATGACATGCAGTTTATATCATACTCAGCGTGCCATTAAGGACGCACCTTTGGGGGGAAAAAAAATGAAGAATCACTTCCTTTTCCCAGGGAAACATCAGTTAAGTTCCCCAATGGAGAGGACTCTTTGGGTAAAACAAGTCAATTGGCTAAGAATAAATAAATTTGTCTGTTTGCAAGTGTAATTCTGAAGCAGACACACCCTCTAACTATATAATAAAAATCTCCAAATTCAATTGTCAAGCAGTCAAAGCGGTCCTGATTGAATTTATTAAGATTTACCTTATAACACATTCCATCCTTAACAAATAATTAACATTCGTACCTTAAATGCAGGTGTCTGCCTGAAGTGACTCCCAAAATATTTCTTACAAACACAGACTTTCATTAAGGCAAAATAAATAATATTGAAAAAACGAATAGCACAGAGCTAAAAAGAAGACAGCAAAATATATCAAATGGGACTTGCTCTTTTTTTTTTTAAGAAATTTATTTTCTCAACTATCTTTGTTTAAAGTCTTTATTGAGTTTGTTACAATTTTTGCTTCTGTCTTATCTTTGGTTTTTTTGGCCTGGAGGCATGTGGGATCTAAGCTCCCTAATGGGAGGGATCTAAACCACACCCCCTACACTGGAAGGCAAAGTCTTAACCACCAGACCACCAGGGCAGTCTGAGTTAACTCTCTTTGATGTTCACTAGTTCCATGGCCTGGCTTTTTTGAGGAGCCCAGGCTCCCAGTTCAACACATGTTTTCATGGCTGGGGAGCCTTTCCACTACGATGCGAAAGGTCCAGTTTGTGTCCTGTGAGGGCCACTGACATTTACCTGCAGCCATCATCTGAGGAAGCTGCTGGGAACACTGGGTGATGCTCTCAACGCCACCTGCATCTACGACTGAATTACGAGCATCCTGAGGGGCAGGAGCGCTTTGATGGTTGAGTGCAGGGTCCCCGCGGACATCATCGGATTCTGCAAAAGGGGGAGAGCACTGGGGTGAGAAAGCCTTCCGGGGCAAATCTGTTGTCTACTTCAAACAAACAACAACAGCAAGCAAACAATGGCGACTGGCAGTGGCAGGCACAGAAGCGAAGCCACCTCCTTGTAGAGTCTCGGTTTCGGAGCCCGGGAGACGTGAGGGTCCACTGGCGACCATCTGGAGCCGGGCCGGCTGAATAAACAGCCTGCCTGTCTGTGGAGCGGCTAGTACCTGGCCTCCAGCTGAACAGACTTCATAAACGGGGCTTATCAGGCCCTGCACAGCCTCCTTCACACACGGCACATCAATGGAGGGGACAGACTGGGGCTACATGTGATTTTTTTTAAGTTCAAAAATTAACTGATGTTATTTTTGAAGACAGTCGTCTGTGAAATGTATTCAGAGAGGGAGAAAAGGTGGGGAAAAGGAGAAAAAAAGCAAGAAGCTATTCATGGTGAGATTGGTAAAGGATGTGCCTAAAATACAATCGTGCAGAAAGGCGAAAGGGAAGAACGGCATGCCGCCTGCCCATCGATGAAGTGCAGACGGTGATGGAGCCACCGAGAAAAAGCACTTGTTTTTTTTTTTATTTCTATGACAAGATATGTTCAACTGGCTGTACCTTGTTTGGTCTGAGTTTTCCTGAGAATTGCACAACTTATATATAAACGTATTTTTATAAGCCTTTTCACAGCACTTTTCTAACCAAAAAGAAAAACACAATAAAATATTATAAAAAGTTGCAAAGGTCCCCTCTAGATTTCACTATTTTTAAAATGCTATGCTTTCTCTCCATCCTTAAAAATGCAAGAACATACCATTCCTATGTATGTGTTAATTGCACTTTCACCAGTGTGAGACTAGAAGATAAAATACATCACTTGAATTTTACAAAGACGGGTAAAACAACTGAATGCAAAGTACTTATTTTTATTTAGGTATCCACTTAGAAATTTTTCCAACATGTGCTTCTCTTAATAGGTATTTTAGAATTAGTGTTATAGTCTGTGTGTTAGTGTATCTAGTATGAAGATTGGCCCTTTGATTTCTTTGATTCTTAGGTAGAAGAATCAGTGATCCCTTTGAACACTGTACTCTCAAAAAATAAATAAATAAAGAAGACAAAGTAAAAACTTGTTTCCAGGTGAGTATAAGCTCAGGTTTCAAATGGAAGCTCAGGTTTCAATATCTCAAGGCTAGGTGAGAATTGAGCACACTGCTTCTCTGGTCTCCATGAAGCCCTAACCCTCAGCATAGTGGCGTGAGAAATGGGAGGGAATTGTTTCCAACTGTCCATCAGGAAGATGAAACCTTTTCATCAAAGCAGTGAAATGATTCCAATTTTTGGAGCAAACTGTACTCAGGACAAATGTTTTATACCATGCAATTAGACTCTTCCACGTAAATGAATTCAGAATGTGTTTATGTATTACATGCATCAATTATCTTAGGTAATGAATGCCATCAAAGAGATTCTCACCATGTAAAATAAAGCCAATAACATCAATGCATAGGTAACCAAAAGCCTGCCTTCTCTCTGTCCACACACCAGCAACATTTCTATGGTAAAACCTTAAAGCAATTTTCTTCTCTCCACATCCACCTATTTCAGAACCCCAAAGCATAGCCAGGCTAGAAGGTGTTCATTCTTTTGCTCAAATGGCCCAGTGGTAGAGGCAGTTCGGATCACTGCAAGGTCACTATCTGTCTTACTTATCGCCCCACTGAAGTTTAGTTGGCTTGCTTTTTTCTTTTTTAGTTCAAGTTCTCCCCAAATGGGTATTAATCACAACTTTTTTCTGTCCAATAAGTCTGCAATTCTGGAACACTATATCAGAGAACATCCCTTTATTGTGTAGGCTTTTTGACTCTAGCCTGACCGGCCATGTTTCACTTTGCCTTTATCGCTATAGTGTTATAGCGGTGGTGTTAGCTCTTCTTGGTTTTTTAACTGTCTGTTCCCGTGTTAGCTTTCACTTTAATGACTGCGGTCTTACAAAAAGGCATCAAGTGTCCTGGTGGCCCATAGCTTCTACCTACACTTTTCATCACCATCTTAATAAACTACTGTTTCACGGAGAGAAAACACTAACAAACTGCTACTGTCTCATCAAAAAAAGGATTACTTCCTTGGCAAGTTGTGGTTTGCAAACCTAAATTTACCCCCTGACAAGACTGTGCCATTCAGTGAATTACATCTCTTCAGTCTGCCAACCCAGGGCTTTGAGTGACATACAACTTCATGTGGCCACCACGCACCTAGAACAGTGACTCTGAAGGACGTTCTGCCACGTCTCAGGCATCTCCCATTGTCTGAGGGATGCCTCGCAATTCTTCACTGCTTTTAAATTCCTTTATCACTTGGCTTGGGAGGAAGGTGATATTTTAAATTAATTGTTATTCAGTAATTTATGAATAGTTGCAAGAGTGATTTTTATACTCTGCTAACATCTATTGTTCCTATTGAGTACCTGCCTCTCAAAGTGATTCAAGGCCATAATACCTAATTTATCATTCTAATCAATTTCTCTGCCTTAGTTTTCTTATTTCTAAACTACACAAAAGATTGATATTCTTAATGATGTTTATTTACACACAGACATGTGGGGAGTTAAAAATTATAGCTAATAAAGCACTTGGAATATAGCAGGTGTTAATTATTATTATTTTATTTGGAAGTGTAGCTTGACATTAAGGTACCCTGGGATCTTGGTGTTCCACTGGATAATTATGTAATTAATTTTAAAACAGTTAGTAACACTTAATATTTCTAAAAGTAAGTGCTGCCCTAGTTCTATGTGTCACATCTAAATTGTACCAAAATATTTCTTCCTTTTACACTGTCCATTTACAAAATAATGTAATTTAAAAGATGTATAAATGTTTCTCTCTAGGTTTTTTTTTTTTTTTCCCCTAGCTATGAAACCACGAAACCCTTCAAGAGATTCATGATCAATTGTGAAATTGGCAGTTTCTATTTACAGCTTTTAGTGAGGTAAGATCATTTCCAGACAATCAGATGCATAAAATGCCTAGGATAACAATACAGTTTTGACAAGGGTTCAACTGAAACCTAACCTGTTCTTTGTTAAGTTTCATTCAAGTACAAAATCTCACACTCAATTTCATAATTGTTCAATACAATATATTTATACTCAGTATTTTACTGGGCTGTATCAATGGAGCAAATAGCTTTTGAAACTTACCAAACCTAAGAAAATATTACTTGGCCTAAAAGAAAGACACAGGCTTCTCCTGCCTAACAGAACTCTTTCTACCTGTCCAACTCTTACAGGTCCCAAGCATACACACATACACACGCTGTATATAAATCCCTCACGCTGTGAGTAATAAAAATCCATCTATAACTCCACAGAACAGATTCCTGTTAAAAAAGGGTGCGTATTGAATTTTTTTCTTTTTTAAAAGAACGATCTGTTCGACCTAAGTCCTTAGGTTCATGCCTGCTTTAATAGAAGAATAATTATACTGAGGAAGTCAGATTTATTAGTGTCTTGTTGAGAGTTGATTCCAAAGGAAACCTATCTCATGGGACATCTGAAACTTTTTTAATTTACAGGAAGTAGTCATAGCATTATCATGGGTTATATTTATAGTAAAAAGAAAAATGCATTCCCAAAGCTCTACTTTCTGCTTCTATTACTAAGAAAATATTCTTGCTTTGATCTCCATGTAGTCGGGAGGATGCTCTCTGGAGGTTATGGAAATGCTCATAGTTTAAAACAACATAGAATACTGTTAAACTGACATTACTTATGTTTTAACTCTGTGATTTTTAAGCAACTATTTAGGAATAGAGGAGACATTTCTGCTTCCTATAATGGTAAACAGTAACTCAGTAATTTTCCCACTGAGGAACAACCAGAAGAGCCTACTATCTTTCATCAGTTTTATAAAACTCTCACTGTTATCTCTTCAAACACAGAAGGATCACAAAGACATGTTTAAATTATGGAAATGAATTACTTAACAGGCTTCTAAGGAGAACAGGTTCTCTTAACTGATCTAGGACGTGGGTGGAATCTATAAGTGTCAAGGCAGAGTGGAGTTGCTCTGCAAAATGTGGTTAAAAAGAAAAAGGACACCAAGGCTAAGTGCTTTGAGGAGGGGAAGAAAGAAGGGATCTTTGGGGGTCACTCATGAGAAAAGGGGACTTCAGAGAAGAGAAATGACTAAGTCAGACTACTGGGAAGTACACAACGTAAGTCTTGCCCCTGTCCCCTCTAAGGAAATGTCAGTAAAGACTACATCACATCTTATTAATAATTTTTATATGGGGGTAATTTTTGGATGCTGGATACCCTTTAGAGGAGAGAGTGTGAAGAGGATAACAAGGATGCAGTTGATGACAGAGACAACTTAGGGTACTACGTGATAACACATGATAAAGTTTCCATATCTGTTGAACATAGAGGATGCTGGATATTAATGATCAATGTCTCCTGATTAGTATGGAATAAAAGGATTAATGTTTTGAAGAAGAGATTTCTATTATATTAAAGTTTATGAGGAATGAGATTTTTGTGGGGAAATTTCTGATGAGAGAATTGCAAGGTAGGAATATCACATCAACTAAGGCTAGAAAGGTCCTACTTGGTAATGGAAGAGAAAAAGCCGCCTCTTGGAAACAGTACGGGCAGAGGAAGGAACTGGGCTGAGGTCGACTCAGGCAGGGTTGAACCCTGCAGTACTTTCTATCAAACCTGTGAAATCGACAGAGCTTTTTTTAATAAAGCCTGACCTATAACCTTTCGTATTGTACTGGTATGTTCATGAAGTCACAAGACTCTCTTCAAAGGGGTCATGATGTGACATGTCTCACAGCCCGACGCACCCGAGGAGAAAAATGCCATTTCTGTTCTGAGTAATTTTTAGCTTGTCCTTTGTGGCTCAGCTGGTAAAGAATCCGCCTGCAATGCAGAAGACCTGGGTTCGATCGCTGGGTTGGGAAGATCCCCTGGAGAGGGGAAAA